TGACGCAAAGGTAACGAGCCTGACCCATCATAGCCACCAGCAGTGACGCCACTATCCCAACACTCGCACCCACCCCCACCACGTTCCCTCCCCATCCCCACCCTATCTTCCTAAACGCCACCGCGTACGACGCCTTCTTCGATATCTGTTTACACAACTCTCCACATATTTATATATATAAATTCTATAATTCATGGTTAGTTTTCGTTACATATAAATAAATACGAGTACCTCGTTGTAGGGAACCATGAGGCAGAGAGACAAGGCCATGAGGGAATAGAGGGCGGAGACGGAGATAACGGAACCGACGATTCCAATGGGGAGGGAAAAGGAAGGGTCGTGTATCTCTTCGGCGAGGGTTGAAACGGTGTCGTATCCAATATAGCTGAAGTATACAACCGCTGCTCCGTTGACTATCCCTCTGACCCCGTAGGGAGCCAGACCGTCAGGCTCCACCAGCGCCTTGGCTCCACCTCCCTCCCTGAACCCTCCTATTATCACGAACCCGAAGAACGCCACGTGGAACACCGTCATTACCAGGTTCAGCATCGAGCTCTCCTTTGTGCTGCAACCCGCTCGCGTTTTTTAAGTTTGACTAGTAAACAGCAGCAGAGGGAGATCAACTCGGTAGGTGTATATATACCTGTAGCAGAGGCAAAGGGTGAGGAGAAGGACAAGAGCGAGGGCGGGGAAATCGAGCTCGTTGTAACCACTCTCGAGGCCTTCCACTCTCACTCTCCACTTGTTGGGGTCCGACCCTCCAAACGCAGTGCACATGTACTCCGTGAAGCTCCTCGCCACCGCCGCATTCGACAACACGTACTCCAGCAGTATGTTGGCTCCCCCCAAGTACCCTACGAATTCACCTGCACCCATCCGGCCACCCACATTAATATACATATATCACTCATACGTGTGTGTGTGTGTGTATGTATATATATATATATGTGTGTGTCTAAATTTATACTATTATAGATATAATTAATGTTGTTGTATTAATGATCCAAGAACGAGACGAATTTCAGATAGAATAGTTAATATTTAGATCCACGTTGGTTTAGGGATTCAGCAACACTACTAATTAATCAGACACGACGTTTTCTCCTACATATAACCCTTAATTAATTATCGACACATGCCGTTTTGTAGTGAAAGAAGGACACAACAACGTAATCTCTTAGAACTCAAAGGCAAGTGGATCCAGTTGTAATGAAGAACCACTGATATACACACAAAAATGAAAGAAAGAAGAAGGGCATTAATTTCAGGTTTTGTTATTTTGCCTCGGGCTAATACTAATTAAATCAAGATTTCATGATTTATGTTGTTATGATATGATATGCATAGAATATACTAAATTTTTGCTGAATGTCAAGTGACATTAAATTGTTATAATTCTCTCCTTTAAATGAAATGCACTTCTTCCTCCGTCTTGTTTGAGAGCAAAAACCGCATTTTCTTTATCGAATTGTAAAAAGTAAAGAGAAGGGTCTTTTTCTTCTGAAAAGCTTTAAAAAAAGAGAGATAACGTATCTCGATGAACACAGAGAGATTTCTTACATATCCACCCGCCATGTTCTTTAGATCTGCCTGGCTCTGACGGCCAAACACGTCTTTGTCTCGTCTCAAAAGTCAGTAACCTTGTAAACTAAACTGACACGCTGCGTACCAACTATAAAGACACCTCCTTTTCTCCTTATTTTTTCAACTCTCAACCGCAGTTTACACATCCTTCTATGCGACGTTTCATAAATAATTTTTTTTTTTAAAGAACTGAAAATTTCACCCCCAAAATACGAAAACCCTTCTCTTACATATATGTATACGTACAAGCACAATGTTTTTTGGCACCACCTACGAACATGAGCTTAAAACCAGGTTTTCGTAACATTTTTTTCAAAGGGTCAGAAAAAAAAAGAAATAAATGAAGGGTTATGGTTAAAAACGAGATTCGTGGTTTAGTGGTTACAATTCTTATTTATTTCAATTTTCCAAGATCATTCATGTGCTTGAAAATACTCTTTACAAAAAAAAGAAGGTTGTATTTATGTGTGTATATATGATAGACGTACCAAATGTGACTCTGAGATAACTGAAAGCCCCACCGGCGACAGGGACGCTAACTGAGAACTCAGCGTAACAAAGAGAGGAAAGAAGAGCGGAGAATCCGGCGAAGATGTAAGAGATGAAGACTGCGGGGCCTGAGATTTCCCTGGCGACAGGTCCGGTGGTGACGAATACTCCGACGCCGAGCATGCCGCCGACGCCGAGGGCCATGAGGTCCAGCCACCGCAGCCTCCTCTTCATGTCGGGTCCCGACCGGAGTCGCACCTGGTTCAGCTCCTGGTCTGGAGTCCACGTGGCCAGCATTCTGGCTTTGAGCCTGTGAGGTGTCTGAGAGAGGCTGTGCAGGTACTTTGCTGTTCCATTCATGGTCGTCGTCATGAGAGAGAGAGAGAGAGAGAGAGAGAGAGAGCCTGCGATGCTTGAGAAATGGGTTTATAATGTTGTGTGTGTATATATATGTGTTTATATGACCATATATATAATGCATAAGGTTTTGATTTCATACTATTAATTCTAATATTTGGATATGTCCCAGTCCGTTGCATTTTAATGGGGTATATATGGAGAATATAAGAAATATGTCCCACTTTATATCAGTATAAATCTAAACTACATGTATTGTACGTCTTGGGGTTTAGGGATTTGGACCCAATTATTCATTCAGCTACTATGCATGTTTTACTTATGATTTTCCTGAACATGATATTTATTCTTATGGGAAATAGATAAATGCCAAAAAAAAATTGTAAATATAGTATATACACACGTAATTGCATATCTATGCTGTCTGATTAAAAAAATTTAAATTTTTACGGAACCTTAACATTCATTTCTTCTGGACGGTTCAACATTATATACGTATAGCATGTTTATAATATCATCGGTGGAGCATAAAATCACGTTTAGACACTAAGGTAGAATCAATGCGGTGATATTTTTCCCATTTAGACGTAAATGCCCCTCGTTCGAGTGGACATATATTGCCCTAATCCAAGTGGATGCCGGACTCTAGCTTTACTCAAAGTACTAATCTGTCATTTATGGATGCCTATGAAATGACGATAACGCCCTTCTCATTGATCCATCACACATGCGTATATGCAGCCTTTCGGCGCACCAAGATCTCCATCTTAATTTATAACATATTTGAATATATATATATATATATATATATATATATATATATATATATGTGTGTGTGTGTATGTATATATGTCATAAATCATGTCAAATTAACAAAGGTCGTATATGTATGTATAACACATGAGACACGCAAAAGGGGGAATAAATGTGTGAGATTGACCCACTCCCCCACCCCCCCCTGAAAATCTCTTTGATCATTTTAGTCTCGAAAAAACTTTACTATAAAAAAAGAGCATCTAATTATACACTTTGCTTTAACCAACGAA